ATGATTTTAACGAGAATAAATTATCTTGAAACCATTGATAATATATTTATTTAATTAAGTTTTTCATAGATTTTAAAATATTATCTATTTTAAAATTCATAACACTTGTAATATCCTCTAAGGTTGATTTTATAATTGTTATATCAAATAACACAAGCGCAACCAGAATAAATCGTTCGTGAGTGCTAATTGTACTTTTTTCTAACCCTAAGAAATACTTTATGTAACAATATAAATAAATTTCAACATTTTTTTGAGGGAGGGGTTAATTTATCAATTTTGAGTCTAAGGCCTCTCTAATTCCCATAGTTTCGTTTATGAAAAACAGACGCAAACATTACAATATATATAAAACTATACATTCTTTTAAGACTTAACGAATTCTACATGGTATGTACACGTCTAGATTATTATAACAAAATGTTCAAAAATAAATTTAGATAATTGATGGTTTTCAAATGTTTTTGTGAATATCTATAACAAAAAATAGTATATATATATTTCAATTATCACATCTATAGATGTGATGTGATTTATAAGCGAATTCAGAAAAATCGATACGTTTGCAGAGTCATACAGTTGCAAGGAAACTAGAAAATAATAGAGGATTTTGTCATTGTTGTTCTACTTCCATTTGGTTGGCTTTTTAATGCACATAGACAGTAATACGATGTAGCAGTGCACTGTATACGAGTGTTCTATAGCGCGAAAAAATAAATTGATGGCAGAATGACCATTTGTATCCTTAGTAATCCCAAATGTCCCCTCGGATGCAACTTGGAGCATTAAACAAAACCATTTGAAAGTGTCGGTCGGACAAATCCGGTCGTTGGATTATTTCACCATCTCTTGGACGAGTTTTCCTACTTTTAGTTAAGTTTTAGGATATTTTTATTGCACACCCGACGGTTACTTCGATGACCGATCGTCCGGAAAATTGATTTCTACTGTGCTGCATCTTTTGCCAGTAGCCAACAGTTTATTATCCCTAGCAGATATCGCTATAAAAAAATATAAACATTATCCATAAAATATAAGATTGTGTATAAAGAAAAATCAAATAAATTCTTCAGAGTCCTTATAAAAAATATCACATGGAATTTTACTTACTTTGATTAAGTTATATTGTTTATTTTAATTATGTGTAATCGAGTAATCTTTCTAATTAAATTAATTTTAAAAATGAAACAACTATTCATAAATTATCGATAATATGCTGTCGATACATACGTTTATTTTTTTTTTTAAGAATTCTATCAAATTATAAAAAAACACAATTAATATTTCGTTGTCAATATCAATACAATATTTTGGAATTACTCAATATATTTAGTTCACTTTTTTTTATAGTTTATTATTTTTAAATAATAGAAAATTAATGTAGAAGATTAACAGTTTTAGTTATATTAGTATAAAATTTGATTATTTATTTTTATTTTTGTGATAGTAATTTGAGTTTGACATTTTTTCTAATTACTAAAAATGTTAAGTGTTCAAATTATCCAACTATTGAAAAATATAAAATTACCTTTTATTTGAATTTATTTAAGGGTTTTCTACATTTTTTAAATTATAATGATTTTATAAATAAATTCTTTTAACGTTGGTCATTCTATTTTTTTAAAAATAATAATTGTGAATTTCTTTTTTGGCTTTTGTTAGTCACATATGTATCTCTATTTATCTATTATAAAAGTTTTTTTATATTAATTCCATATATCATATAGGGGTGCTAAGAAAATGACTGGTCGATACAACTTTTGGACCAGTATTTCAGGAGTTAAAACAAATTAAAGTATAGACTGAAGTGAGGCGAAATTTTTGCTAATTTAGCACTAGACATTTCCCTGCCTCATTACTCCTCACAACAAACAATAAAAATATTGATAACTTCTGAAATATTGGTCCAAAAGTTGTATATACCAGTCATTTTCTTAATTTTATTATTTTATAGGCTAGTTAAATATGTATGTTGTCATTTAATAAAATAAAGGTGCTTCCCCTGTAACACGTAAAGAATATTTTATTTCATACGAATTGAGATACATATGTTACTAACAAAAGGAAAAAATAGATCCACCAAAAATTATTATTTTAACAGAAATTGAGTGGCTTATGTTAAAAAGAATGTATCATATCATCAAGTCATTTCTTGCACAACGATGACAAATTATAATAAAGAAACATATTGTCATAAATTGTTAACTATAAATAACATTACTTGTCTTAATAATTTTTTATTTATCTAAATGTAAACTGTATTATTAAGTAATATAATTGATGAGCTGTATCTAATTAGTAGACCTTAAATTTAATTTTATAAAACACATAATTTTTCAATATAAATTCTAAATTGTCAACGGATTTAAAACTAATAGCGTGTAATAATGTCAATTCTTTTTTTGTTTAAAATATAATAATGTGTAGATTTGTAATGCTGAAACGCGTATATTTATTAACTATAAGTTAGTACATTTGTATGTGCGTGTCGTTAAAAATAAGACTGTTGACAATAACTGTCAATGTTTACGACTGGAGTCATTTAGGACCTAATAAAAATTTAAAAAATAAATGTAATCATAGAATTGTCGTCAACCACAAATTCGACCGGTTTACACGATATATACGACTTGTGAATGACAATCACTTATTAAAAATGTCTTTCAGGTATGGTCATAAAACGATGGCGAAACGAACAGTTTATATAATGTTTTTTTTAGTGCGAGATTATGCCAAGTAAGAGAATTAATCGTTTATTATAATTATTGTTATGGTAACAATATTGGTATTAAAAATAACTCTGTGTGTATATAGAGGGCAAAAGGGGCAGTTACTGTTGCGTGGGAAATCTGCGGCCGGTGCAACAGGATCAATAATCTATAATATTCCATCCAAGTGTGTGTAAAAACCACACGTCGAATATTATTATAATAATCATGTTATTAAGTGTTTTTTTATATTTTAAATAACGGTGTAGTGTAACGTACCGACAGTTCGCTGTATATTTTTTAGTCGCGGGACAATATATCCGGGAACGCAGTGAAACGCCGTAGATTATAATTATAAACTAGGAGGGATTAACGACCAAAACGACGGGTTTTTTATTATTAAGTATTGTGGGAGGAGATGTCCGCACAAGACGAATAATTTTGCCATCGCTACAGACTCTTCGACCCCACTTTGTTGATGTAATTATTTACCTAACCTTTCTACAATATACTACGGTCATGGATAATCCTTTTTTTTCTCAACTATTGTTATCATTTATCTCTAAAATGGTTAACGTTACGTTGAAATATTTTTTAATTTCTTATGCAAATTTAGTTCTATATGCTTTTATTTTAATAATTCCATCTATTTATTTCAGGCAAAGCTCAATTACTATAACGCTTGAAATTTCAATTTTTATTTTTATATCATTTTCAATACTTTTACTTTTACTAAATACTTTCACAATAATTAAAACTAAATTTTCATTTATTTCATATATTTAATTGTATTTTATTATTCAAAATACTAGTACGTATACTAGTTATCTAGTTAAATTGCTAAATAATTTAATTACTTTCTTGTTAATAGTTCATGATTATACAATCTTATCAAGGTTATAGTAAATCCTTTTTTGACCTCTCCCGAAAATGTGTCCTATCTATAGATATTCTAGACGGAATGATAAGGATTTATTAGACAGTGAGTTTTGGTTTATCATGTATTTTAGATAAAAATATTAAAATATTACTAATAAGTAGGTAATAATTTGTTTATTATTTATCTTATCTTATTATATAAGTCGAGGTAATAATCTTAACGTAAAATTTATTCTTATAGAAATTCAATGATAGAAAAAAAATTGGTTTAAAAAATTAAAAGGATTATATTTCTTTACAGCGTTCATTAATATTATATTTTGACAATACTTGCAGTATGTCAGTTACCTATAAATAACACTTATAATAAAGGGGATAACTACATATTTAAAAGTCTAATGAATATTCTCCTAAACAGTGTAACTTATGTACTCATCTGGGCTGTCATGTATAAGGTTATCCACGCTTTAAATTTTTGAAAAAAAAAACTAACTTGGAGTTGTTAACTCATATACACATAAATAACAAAAAAACTATCTTTTATAGACATTGATATTTATAACTGGTTTTGAATAATTACTCCTCATTATCCTATGTATTACATTTATACTATAGCACAGTGTGTTTCTATAATAAATACATTTTTGCCTACACTAACCGCCTCTTTAAAATGATGAATAAATTTATCGTCAAAAATTGTTGTTTGACATGAAACGTTTTGTTTTCATTGTAGAAAAATGCGTTCACATATGAAAAATACAAGCACTTCTAACAGTTACTTGAAAAATGTGTGTTATAATTAAAAAAATCACATCAAATGATTACAGTAATCCAATCAACTAAAATATTTGGTTCGTTACTTCGATTTTCACAATTATTTTGTTTACATTGTGTCGAATTTCAATTATCAAGAACATGACACATGATACGCGTATTGTGATACTAGTAATCGATCATAGTGTGTTATCTTTTAAGAGTAAACGACTAAAACATGTTATAATCAAATATGATATAGACCGGTTCTCGGTTGATTTTTTTATTGATTTTATGAATTACTTTAAGGTTAAATAATTTATATACTCAACTCAACGTCATATTATAGTAGTATTTGCTTTATCATTCAAACTTACCTTAAACAATTAAAATGATTTTATTTGATAAAAGTTATATTCTCTGTAAATGTTGACTGAATTTTTAATTGTAAATATATTAAATCTCAATAATGTTGCAAGCATTGTTTTAAACCGAGTCAAAATAAAAATATTTTTCTTTTTTTACCGCAGTGAAACCAGTTTAAACCGAATCTTGCTCGTGTAACATAGTACAATGCAAATGCTCATATTTTTCAACATAAAATCTCTAACGTCTGAAAATAATTGAGGTTGAAGTCGTAGCAAAATAAAAATAACGATGTATTTCATCTAAATCGTTTAATATTTCTAAAATAATGATCTAATTTAAATATTCTATTTACAAAGCATCTGTAGAATTTTCATATAATTTTAAATATACATATAAATATTACACATTTTGTCGTTATAACATTACATACAATTATTACTTTATACATAAATATATCCTGTAAATTATATTTCTGTACAATTATACGTACTAACAATAAATCTTTTTTTTTTCTTATACTGTGCACAATTGCGTATAATTCTAAATATCATTTACTGTACAAGTTCAAGTTTTCGACTAGCTCATAAGTATAATTTATTGTAAACTTCAGTTTTCTTAAACATTATTTTTTTAACAAATTTGTACCAAAAGCAAAACAAGTTATAATAATTGTTCATAAATTTATCTGATAAAAAAAAATATATTCTACTAAAATTAAAATAAAAACGTCTATTATAATTGAATAAAATGAATGAAGTAGTTTTTCACGGGCCATACTGACCATGTATGAGTAAGTTTTTATAAATTGTTTTGTTGGGAATAAATAGGAACTATGAATATTTTATTAACAATAATTAAGTAATAATTTGTGTCTAAATTGATTTATTAATCATTCATCGCCGACCCTGCAAAAATGGTTCGTCGTGTGCCCGGGAAACGGCAAGTCTAATAATCACGCGTATTCGGACCTCCAACTAGCCTGTAAATCAAAACAACAATAATTCTTTAGTATTGCAAGTACTTAATGCGTAAAAAATCTTAAACTATGCAAAATAAGTGTTAATCGTAATTAGAAATAAACGGTTTGAGTCACATTATTTAAGACTATTGTGTAGATGATCGAATTTAAAGATGCAATTTCATTGATAAATTATGAATAGCTTAATACTAATTATTAACTCTAGTACTGAATAAATCTTTCATAACTTACATAGTTGTTACTCACCATTGCGTTTGATGTGGTGGGTAACCCGAGTCCCGTAAGGGATGCCATATGATGGTGATGTGGATGAATCGGGGTTGGTGGGGCCGCCGGTTGATTAGCTGAGGTGGCATGGTGATGGTGATGATGGTACATAGCTGCAGCGGCAGCGGCTGCGTGATGATGGTAATGGCTCATAGCGGCTGGGTGTGGATGCAAAGCGGCCGAAGCGGGATGATGGTACCCGGTTCCGGTTCCGTCACCTCGCATCATACCGGACAGCGATAGACAAGCACCCGCTCCTCCACCACTACCGCCTCCTACGCCGACACTACCGCCTAAAATCGATCCCTTCTTCTTTTTCGATTTAGAAGACAGCTTACGATTTCTAGTTTGAATGCCCTCCTTCTTCATAGTTAACGGTCGATTCACCTGGTGACAGAAAAAACAATTAAGTAAAATACAAAAAGGGCATTTTTCAAAAATTTATTTAAGATTATCATATTATGTTTTTTCCGTTAGTTCACGTGGAACAAG